GAGGACTTCTGTACCAAATATTCAGACATCTAGAAATCTTACAGATGGAATGGCGGTCTGCCAACTGCCACACACCTTCATATCTCACTTGCTCATTCAGACATCTGGAAATCTTAAAGATATGCTGGCTGAGGAGATTTGGGGGAGATTCATTCAAAGAACCGTCCTGTCCAATTTTTAGAAGAACTCACTATAATTAAAGTAATTCGCAGCCAGTAGTGGCGAAAAATGAATACACTGAACAAACAATGCAAGCGTGACGGACGTTTTTGAAAAAAAATTCAAGAGAAAATTCGAAAAATAACGAATTAATCCCCTGCAAGCTTCTCTGCAGCACTTCGTACTGCTATACCAGGATAAACCTGGTTAATAGAGGCGACAAGGCTCACATACTTCATTGAAGCAATACACTTGTACGTTGCATGAATATCCAGACCCATATCTCCGGATGTGATAGACTAATGTTGACGCAGGAAATTCGACCATAGGATTGTGCTCTGTAATGTACTGTGATCCCCTGTTATTAATAGTACGGAGTTATTAATAACCGATCGAATACCATAATGCTTCAGGTTCATGGTAACCTTGGGTACCATGATCCGTAGATTTTACTATCAACTCGCTCTATTTGTCTTCTCTTCGGCAATTAAAAAAAAGACAATAACTACTTGAAGTACAATTGTTTCTCAGTTTATTCCAGCCCACCAAACGAACACTGTAGAATTCGCATTAGAACAAACACATCTGCAAATGAAGCATCCAAAACTCTCGACTTCGCGACAGTCTACAACGCAACGATTAACTGCCTGGCAGATAATCTGTGAGTAGGAGTTAGACGGGGCACGTTTTATACACATTCAGAGGAACACAAAATAGCTGGATACAAAACACTATTATTTTGTCAACTCCTAATCAGCAGATATGACAGGATATAAGAACCCCGATAAGCTTACTTCTGTACCAAACATTCAGACATCTGGAAATCTTAAAGATATGCTGGCTGGGCGATTTGGGGGAGATTCATTCAAAGAACCGTCCTGTCCAATTTTTAGTAGAACTCACTATAATTAAAGTAATCGATGAAATTAATCGGATATGAATGCATATACGTGCAGACAGACGCAAGCGCTATTCGGATGCTGGATTTAGCAAGCGGGGCAAAACTCATTCAGCATTTTGCCTCGCAGTTCGTATTGCTCGCTACTGTACCCCTTCCCAGCCCTCCGAATTCTCTACCAAGGAATTCAAGAACCAACAGCAAAAATGCGCCTCGCCTACATTTTCACGTTGGTTATTGCCACCACCCTCCACGCTAGCGGCTTTGCACTCCCCACGGCCACGAATCCTAGGGTCAGGATCCAGAATGAAGCGCCAGAGATGGTCGAAGCTATCAACGCTGATGGCGGAAGACTTCTACGTCGAATTGGGACGGGTGCGAAGGTTGAAGAAGAGCGGACCTGGAACAATTTCGGGAAATGGCTGAAGAAGCAGATCCCGCTCACCGAAGGCTGGAAGGAAGCTAGAAAGGTGAGGAAAGGCAAAGAGCATATGGCTAGATTCAGGCGCAACCGCGAGAACATCAGAGCGTCGATTATCCAGTAGTAGGTGTGACCCGCTAGAGGACTCGAGGCTGCCATTTTGATAGAGTTTACTTGTAGTAGATGCTACAAATCATCTACCAAAGGTCTTCAATACAACGTTCTGGTAAATACACTCAAGTTCGAAATAATAGTGAACTGTGGATATCGGTTAGCACCCCAAAAATACACTGACCGTACAGATTTTCCCTCACTTTTGCCATCTCTGTTGCTCAAAGGGATATTTAACGTTGAAGGCCACTACGTTCTACAAGTGCCAGGAAGCGATGTCGGGGACGACGTTAATGTCTTTGTCGGCGACTTCAGAGTGCTCGTCAACATCTAATAAATCACCCCGGTGTGGCGAAAATATGTAGGTGTCGTGCCTGCGTTCTTCCTTGTCACATCTCCTCACTCCACTCCATAGCTACTCACGTAGCGGTTCATATCGATACCCTGGGCGCATTATGCAGCTGCAACTCCAACGTGATGATATCAAACACTCTTGCTGATTCACCGAATAGTTAATTTCTTCAAGGCACAGTTTTTTTTTCTTGCGTCGTTTGTCGAAACACACTCCGTGCTGCAGTCAATCTCTTTTGGTACAGTGTATCCCCTACGGACGTTCAAAGTTCGTAGAGCAACAACGAACCTACCAGCAACTCCTTTGTTTATATCATGGCCATGACCAGAGCTCTTCTTTAGAGAACACAACGCAACGGCGATTTAGCCATGGAGGACTGCTAGAAGAGCTGTATGGACAGCCTCACACCCACAATTTAACTCACTCACATCCTAGTACACCAAAATTGCCTCTGCCAGACTCGTGAATCACAAGTCACGGTGCGCTAAATACTCTCATCTTGGGTCGTCAAGGCCAAGCGCAATACCATTACAGCATGTGCGTTGTGGATTTAGCATACATTTTTAAACCGTTTTGAAAATTCAGTGTCAGAGCGATGTCAATTCCCAAACGAAAAAATATATGACCCTATGCTGAGCTACATCCGTCGCACCATACATTCGAAAGGCTTTTTTGTATGACCGGACATGAGAATAAAAATGCGGTGGAGAGCTGGTTGTCTTCGGCGGCTAGGCCCGCTGAAAGAGCAGCTCTCACGCTTTCACTCCTCAGCCTAGACGTTGGATGCTTAAGAAATTTGATAGACTTCCATGCCTCTTTTTTTTAGAGTTATTAACTCGCGTCGTTGGCAATGATTGCGAGTGTTGGGTTTTCTCTCCTAAACTTAATAATTACCCTAAAATCAAATCTATCACCTGTCATGTGCATTGCGCGGCTCGCTAAGGAGCTCAGCGCTGGGCGCGCCTCCATGAACCGCGCGGGTTTGCTTTGGCTGCGTGCGAGCGCAGATGACTATTGTAAAATTACAATTAGAATTGTTTAGGATTTTTGGACAGTCTAGGAAACCTATACGAAGCACCAGTTGCACGCACTACGTAAGGTAGATAAACGAAACATAACCCACCATTTTGCACTTAAAGCGAAGCGCTTTATACAAATAGATAGCACATTCAAATTCGACATCCTAATTGTTCTATCTGCGAGGAGGATATGTCGTCTTGTCCCAGATTTCTTGTTCAGTATTCTTTCATACTATCCACGTGACACCCACGATTTCGATGTACTCCAAGACCTACCTCGCGCTTGCGCCCGTGGCCGACACTGTCGCTCGCCAACGCCTGCTGCATGCAGCCGCTCCAGCAATCGCTGCAGGAACTCCAATCAACGACGACCTCCTGTTGAGTGCCCGAGTCGAACGCCAACTACGCGAAGTTGAAGCACAACGCGGAATGGTGACGCGCCACGAAGTGCTCGCTGCCATGATTCGCGAGCATGCTATTTTCATCGAGCACGCTGAAATGGAATACCCCAAAGCTGTAGCACCCTCGGTCATGCCTTCGGAGCAGCCACAGTGAGCGCTTCAGAGTGTGCTACTGCCATGAGCGATGCAAACATTCGGGCTACATCGTCGTGACAACAATTGGACTATATTAGCGACTCAGAATGACAGTGTGAACGCCCGACTGTTTTATCTTGAATCTTACTCTTTGCTTATCTCGTCCGTGAGCGGTTTGACGTTAGAAAAACCATCTTGGATAAAATGTACCAAACAAGTATATAAGGTGGCCATTAAATTCCACTCTAGTGTCGAACACGTGCTGTTCATGCAACTACTTTCTCTCAGTAACAATAGTGTGCAATTTACAAGTCTTCCCGGTGATATCGTCATACTTGTATCCACGTTGGGAAAAGAAGTTGATCCAGCGCGTGTCTCGTACACTACGATGCTGAATGAGCAATGTGTTCCGTGGCAGCAGCTGAAGATACTTGTTGCCGTACTGCTGGGTATAATCTGAGATATTACGATAATGCCATCCAAAAATCAGAGGCTTTACCCAAATCATACTGCAAAGATCATCTCGATTCTAAGAAAATACTCTAGATACAAATGCCTCTATCTTCCCTCGTTCTTCTTCTTAGCTGCCAAAAACCTGTGAAAGCCACGACTTCTTGCCTCCAGCGGTCTCACCACTGTCCTTTTCGGAGCCCTTAGCCACGTCACTCTGGATATTCTCACGCTCAGAGGCCGGCTCTTGCTCCTGACGATTGGAGTTGTCATTCCTCCAGTTCTTTCTATTGCCTCGCGTACTGCCGTCCTTCATGTGCTTTCGAAAACGATCCACATCAAACTGACCTCGTGGAGCAGAACGTCGCCCATTAGCCGCGCCACTGGACCACCGCGTCTTCTTCTCTTCTCGGTTGTACGTGGTATTCACGAGCCCTTGTTCCACCAACTCCAGCACTTTTGTCTTCAGTTCCAACGCCAAATCTTTCTCCACGAACGTGTCCTCGAATCGGAAGGACAGCCACAAGTACAGATCAATGATCTTGGCCTTAATCTCCACGTCTCCCAGAGCTTCGGCTGTGCGAGGGGCATACTTTGGCAAATAGATATCCAGCTTGACACTTTGACCCAACGAGTGGGCACGCGCGTACTCTAGAAACACCTTACGAGCCAGAGGGTTACGCAGACTCACAGGCGACATACAGAACGTAAACCGGTCCGACAGAGTAAGCTCCGTATCGCGTAACAACGTGGCCGCATCCTTCATATCCTGATGGTTACACATAAAGTAGTCACCATCCAGACGCGCCAACATGACGTACTTGTCCACTAGATCGGCCAGATCTGTAATTCCTGGCAACTGCTTCGCGAACTCTTCCATCTGTTCCGAGGACGGAAAGAGGCCTGCCGACGTCAGTGGCGTCGGCACTTCGTCGTACGATTCCTTGAGGTATCCCAAGTCTTCTTCCAGCAGACACGTCGCCTCACCTGATGCAAAGTCGCTTCCGTATCGACCTGCCCGTCCAGCGATCTGTTTAGCCAGGGAAGGCGGGATATCGATCATCCCACCGCTGCTACCTGAGTATTTCTTGACCGTGGCGAACACTACGCGTCTGATGTTGAGATTGAGTCCCATTCCGACGGCATCCGAAGCCACCAAGATGTTAAAATCATTGTTCCGGTCGTTGAAAAGTCGAGCCTGTTGCGACCGCGTCTCTGGCGGGAGTTGGCCGTAGATGATGCAGCATTTCTGACCGGTTTTAATTTCGATATCCCGCTTAATCTGGAAGATATCACGACGTGAGAAGGCCACGACACAGTCGCCTGATCGGATGTGACTGTATGATCCCAAGTGCTTCGGAGCGATCTCCAACGGCGATCGACGCTCGTACGAACGCAGCTCAAAGTCGTCGCCTGTAGTCTCTGCGAACTTCTTGACCAGATGCACAGCTTCACCCGAGCCACAGACGTGGATCTCCTTTGCCTGAAGGCCGAAGAGAGCGCGGGTCCAGGCCCAACCTCGCTGCGGGTCGCCGATCAACTGGATCTCGTCGATCACCGCCACATCCCACGGCCGATTGATGTTCGCCATCTCCACTGTACACGACACGTGCGTGGAGTAAGGCACGAGCTTCTTCTCCTGTCCAGTGACTAGGGACGTGTACAGGCCGTCTGCGTTCATCCTCTCGAAGATCTCGAGCGCTAGTAGACGCAGTGGACCACAGTAGATGCCTCCGTCTTCTCCTGCCTGCTTCAATCTCTCCAGAGCCTGGTGGGTCTTACCACTATTGGTCGGTCCTTCATGATAAATGATCTTCCTCTTCATTGCTGTTGCATATGGATACATTTCGTGTGGCAGTCTCAAGTCTGTGAGCTGCTGGAGAGACAGTACGTTGTCGTTATCTTGGTCTGTGGGTAAATAGCTATTGCTTTTGGCATAGTCCACAAAATACGGGTAGAAGATGAAGGAATTGTGGCGCTTGACGTCGTCCAGGTCCTAATAACCAGTAAACCATCAGTATTTCGGCTTCTAGAGCGTAACAAAGAGATAAAGGATAGTGTTGGCGTACCCGAACAAAGGCTAAGAGTTCCTCTTGGTCTTCGAAGTACTTGGACGGCTCTGAGAGGAAGGATTTGCGGAAACTGGCGGCGGCGATGGCCCATTCGGTCTGGTTCATACCAGCTTCCACTGCGAGCTCCTTGGCTTCGTAATTACGTGGAAAATGGCGCATACGCCGGTGTACGCGCTTGGCTAAATCGGATGGCCACTTCACGCTCTGCACTTCCTTCTCGACTGCTGTAGAGGAGAATGAACGTTGGACGGGTACGCGGAGGGTTACATTGGCGTAACTTGGCTTGTAGACAGAGTTAGAGCTGGTAAGAACCGCTGTTGGCACTGCCAGGAGTTGTAGAGAAGGGTAATGCGATCGAACGCGCGTAGCAGACACTCGCGTGGCCTTGGACAGCGGCCGAGCGAACCGGAGCATACTTGCAGCCGATGAATGGCAGACTGTGGCCAACACTTCAGCAGAAACAAGAATGTGTGGACCACATGGTGATGTTTTGTACATAATCCACAAACTTTGATGCGATTAAGTTTAGTTGACAGCAAAATTTGGCCCAAACTGAGTTTAATTTTTCAAATAACGGTTACTACAGCCCAGATTTCTAAAAGTATGTATGTTTAGGTTAAATAACATTCTGAAAACCTGTTAGATTAAGCCGCGTTTTACACGAATCTCTGGGTTTTTGTGCGGGGCGGTTGTGGCTTTTCGGCAGTAAAATTGGGAGTAAATTATCATTAATATCTACCTCCTGCCTCCTACATCAAATGCACAGGTGAGCTTGTTGCCGCAGTAAGCCGACCATTTCCTAACTACCGACTGGGCACAACGAGACGGATATTGTAGAACCGTTGGCAAATTCCGGGAAGTCTGGCGCTCGGGGCAGGTCAAACACCAGACATGCCTTCGCCGTTCTGCGTAATCTATGCAGTCCTGTATATCATTGGACGCATTGCTCAAACAGTAAACACGCTAACATATCATACTGTACGAGTCGCACTGCAATCACAAGAAGGATTTTGGCAGTAGGTCGTAGGCATCTGATGCTCCTGCTTGACCAACACTCACAGCTAACATCAGTCATTATCCGATCAAATAGAATGATAAAATGTTTACTCGACTTGGTCTGTCAAGTGATAACAACCATGCGATTCTGCTCACGAAACAACTGCAACCATGTATCACGACCGTGGTCAAGCAATTCGACATGATCTACCGATGTCTGGTCTGCTTCGAGGAATATCCGCTCTCGGATCGAGACACACTGGTGATCGATGAAGTTCTTCAAGAAGGTAATACCGTCCACAAGTACCAAACGTATTTGCGCAATGCACACGCCGACGGCATCATTGAGCTCAAGCAGAAGGAATGCCCTGGATGCAAGGATGCTCCGAAACTATTGTCCTCGTGGTGAAAGTCTCGCGGAACGGTCAAGCCATTTATATCTGCCCCACGTGCAAACACCAATTTTTGTAAAAGTAAAAAAAAAAAGTTTGTGTTTTTTTTGCTCATTTGCAATGCTGTTCGATTGCTTTGCAAATGCAAACGAGTTCGTCCATGTCAGTATCCGTGAAAATTTTATCTTCGATTTCCTTGAAGTCGACTAGTAGCTTTCCGAGTCACAGCATGGCGTACGTTGTGCTTGAACAGGGAGAAGATATGTCCTCACGAGGCAGCTCTTCAGTCGACGGTAAAGCAAATGCGTATCGCTCCAGCGTCTCCTTCACGTGACAGTCCACGTATTCTTGCCACAGCGGAAGCGCTTGTTCGTGGAAAGCGAAGTCTGTGTGCACGATGTGGCGCAGCACTCTTGAGTTTGGTGAAACCCTCTCCTCCATGAATGCATCTCTGCGAGCTTGGTAGGTTTTGAAGCGAGTGTGCCTTGCCTTCAAGACGACCGCCGCGAAGATGGACTGCGACGAGTGCATGGACGTCTTGAGTTGAACATCTTAGATGTCTTATCAAAGCTTCGGTTATAGCCGTCTGCGAATGACTGCTGCAGCTTCTCGTCGTCCGCGTTATCTTGAGACAAAGGACAGACCGCAGAAGGGCGGAACATCGCACTCTCGGGCCGGCGCATCTCTAGCTGTTTAATTCGTTTCCCCACGTCGGCGACTGTAGTACAACAGAAGTAGAGTGTCCTGCGTCGTAAAAGCCAACAATGAGTATCATTCGAATGCGAAGCACGGGCGGTTGTTTCTCGTCCAACTTCTCACGAAACACGCCGGATCCAAGCCACTTAGGCAGCATCCTTTGTGCGAACTTCTTCTCCATTTTGCTCGATATATTTTTATACTGATGGCAGTGAGAATGTCCTACTACGCTCTCTATGCCTGAATATGTGGATGTAGCTAGCTACGTAACCCCGAGTATTTCTAGCTACCTTTTTTTCTGCCTTGCTTGCAAACCTCGTCGCGCTTTCAGCCGTTTCACTCTGAGCTTCCCATTCAACCCGCTCTTGAGCCGTTCCAGCACGTTCCTCGCAGCGTTGACGTAGTCATACCATAACAGCCATTGACAGCAACACAGTCGGTATTCTTGTTTCTTGCGCTTCATGGTTGAAGTGAGGAAATGAAAAAAAAAAATTCTTTTTTTTGCCAATCATCTGTTGTATTACTTTTTTGTACAACCAACTGCAACAAATTGTTCAGCCAATGATCGAACACGTCCAAAGTGAATCCTTTCATTCCGTTCGGACTGATTTTTTCATTGACACAACTATGCATTTTCAACAAAAAAGAGTGGACATTGTCGGGGCCCCGCCGAATAACATGTTGGAGCTGTTCAAGAGTGGATTAAAGAAGAAGCACGGAGTGAGATCAATAGCGCAAGAAATGCAGGCAGTTGTTCCCCAGTACAAGTCCAGGTTTTATTTGTTTTGTTTTTGTGTTTTCTGTTGTTTCTAATGTTTTCTCTTTTTTTCTGCCTTTGCAAGACAGTCAAATGCAACGGCTCATCGACGAACGATGATACCAAGTTGTTGTCAGCGCTTGTACGCTTGCAAACAACAAATCAAAAATATGCATCCAGTAGGATATCACGGTAACTGCATGCGCAGTCACCACCCTACTAATCCGGTCCAAGTCTTGAGACACAAGTGTCTGGCAGCTCTCAATCAACGACGTGAAGGTCAAAGGCCGTGTACACCATTTGCGTCTGCCGCCCAAACTCCTCGTAAATCGGAGTTTCCCCATGATCGAGAAATGCGTTTTTCCACCGTTGGAGCGCTTGCCCCGTTTCGCGACGGATCGCTTTAGTAGACTTACGACTCAATTTCTCTCCGCACAGATGATCGTTGAATGATTTCACGATCGGAACGTTGAACGCGGTAGCGCAAATGTCGTCGAGAGCGCGCACATCCGGTTGATCATACGTTTTCAGCGAGTAGATCATCATTTCTCCCAACGCATTCGTCGTTGCCTTACCCTTCTTCTTGTTTGTGTCTTTCGAAGTTATACACAAGTTGGGCATCGCATTCACGACTTCATCGCGATAAAACTCCACGATGTCGTCTCGCTCTTCGGTGTCTTGAAATATCTTGAGTTGGCACATGAAGGCAGCGATTTGAGCCTCTCCAATGTGCTCCAAGTGAAACGCCGCAGAGTCCATTATCATCTGACCTGCGTTATACGGATCACGATCACCGTCACGCGTCCTGATCAGTTCGAACATTCGGTCTCGAAGGTTTGCCTGTCGGAATTCTTTAGGATCGCAGTAGATAACGCGCGAATCGTGCTGCACCATGCAGTACGGGTAATCAGGAATCGTGACGCGACGATAGCAAGGTTCTTTATCGACCTTATTGCCTTCGCAAGGCACTTCCTTCGGGGTCGCCCAATCTTTATGGGAATTACAGAAAAATCCGCGTCCAGCTTTGCAAATGCTTTTGCTGCACCGCCTTCCTTCTTCTCGCACGATCGCTCGGCATTTCCCTTCCTGCTTCGTATGGTGGCCACAATAGCGCGAACTTGGCGGAAGTTCCCAATCGCATTGTTTTTGAGTTCTCTTATCAAACCCTTGACATCCAGTTGGTCTCGTTGGTTGGAACACATGTGGAGCATCATCTTGAACTTCAACGGCGCCGAACGAATTCTATTCTGCCAGCTGATTGGCCAATTTGTCGCTATGATTTATTTAAGAATCGCCATAAAAACATTATTTTTAATGACACTTCTACGCTTGGAAGTCTTCGAGTATGGCTCCGTTGCACGCACCGAACTTTGAATCGTGTCGTGGTTTGACCAAGCATGGCAAGCCGTGTCCTGTTAGGTGGGGCCTCTGTTGAAGTTGCCTTCTCATTATGCTCGCTATCACTGGCCAAGTATAAAGATAAGACGTTGACGATGTTAGATCTATATATAATACATGTAGGACCGATGAGGGAACTGGCACTAGAAGCAGAGAGCAGACATCACTTCCCAATCTGCTATCTTCTCTCCAAGTACCAGCTCCTCAGGTCCCGGAGGCTCTTTTGGCCCCGCCATCCAGCGTTCAGTTCCTCTGTACAACTACCTTCTAGTCAACATGACGCAACGACAGCCTCGATTTCCAAGGCTACTGCAAGTTTCACAAGCCCGACGCTGTCCAATGCCGCGGCATTGCGCGTTCAACAGGTCGCCAGTGCCGTATCAAATGGGACCTTGACGAGTTTGGATACTGTAACTTCCACCGCAATATCACAAGCCGTCAGTGCGTCGCCATCGCCCAAAATACTGGCTTGAGGTGCCAGAAAACAGTGGGAATCGATCATGACGGCTTCTGCTCGACCCACAAACCGTTGGTTGCGAAAAGTACTCTGCTCTGCCAGGGAACTATTCTCAATACTAACAGACCATGCACGAACCCTGCCAAGCCCAGATATGCCTATTGCTGCTCAGCTCACGACCCATTCATGAACTACTACTCGCCGAACATGTTTGGAGATTCAAATGTACGAAGTAGCATGGAAGGCGAAGTGGTCAAGTACTACAGAGGTCGAGATTTGTACCATGGCGACCGACTCGACTTGGCTACCCGCGGGTTCGTCGAAATGGACCACATCCTCGAAAAGCAATGCTTCTCATACACCTTCCACTTCATACCTTCCCGGGGCTATGGAGAGGGTGTCGACTACCTGGCGGAACTTGTGAAGGAAGAGGTAGCCAATGAGCTGGATAATTTGTGTTTCACGAGAGCCGCGACCAACCGAATCAAAGGTGCGGCAGTGTGGAAGTTCCTTGATGACAGTCTGACCGGCCATGTGGGTTACCAAGGGAACGCTACATTCAATGACTACTTGCTGGCAGAGAATCGAGATAATATGCGGCTCGGAAGGGCGACGACTCGTAAGATATCTGGAGAAATGGGAACAGCGCTCAAGTTTTGCCAGAGAAAATCGGCCGCTGAAGGCGAGACACCGATTATTGAGGCTTTGAGTGACCAGCTGCAAAGATTGTACGTGAAAATGCAGCTTCACACGTCTCGAAGTGCCACTTCAGCTGCACGAACAAAGTCTCGCCCATCCAACGCTAAGACTGTCGGTGCGAACGGCGCGACATCACATATTGTTGCGTCTTCGAAGTCTTCATCAAGCAAGATAACTGACGACGCGAACGCGAACAACAAGTCGGATAGTTCCGAGACTGAGAGTCCTACCGTGGCGAACACAGCACATAGCGAAGTCGATCCGAAGGTTGCAGTCTCTACTTCAATTGAGACGGACGAGAAAATAAAGGTTTTGAACGCTTCCGCCAAGCCATTTGTCCCAAATGCAGCCCAAGGCAGCGGTTCACTTCGTGACAAATCGAACTTATCGCGTGAAAACGCCGACAACACATCCCGACTAACACCGACATCGGTGAAACCAAAAGCAGCGTAACCGCGCACATACACACCGTTAGCGCTTGAGCAATGTGGTGGCGCAAACGAATACATTTCGCTCACACTGAGTTTTCATGAAAAACTTTATTACAAGCGGTCACTGAGAATGTCCACTTTTATTTTTGTTGAAAATGTCAATGAGAACTCATCCAAACGAAATGCGCGTTCTCGTCTTCGTACCAAAAAAAGTTTTAAAAACATGTTCGTGAAGTGTTCGATCATTGACTGAACGAGGTCTGTAAGCAAGGAAGAAAAAGGTAGCTAGAAAGACTCGGGGTTGCGTAGCTAGCTACATCCACATATTCAGGCACAGAGAACTAGTAGAACATTTTCAGTACCATCAGTAATATTTTATGGAGTTTCATCCGTTTCATCACTGTTGTCTTCTTCCGGTTCGGGTGAGCTCTTAAGCTCGTCTAGACGAGCTTGAAGCACGTCGAGCACAACCGTCACGTCAGCATCGACGCTATGCACGTGATCCTGCAGCAGGATCTTTGTGGCGATGATGGCGAGGCGCTTGTTGACTGTCTTGCTGTTGGCCGTCTGTAACAACGACTTGATAACGTTAGTGAAGCGGTCAAGCACCGTCGTTGATCAATGCGGTGACCTCTCGGCCGAGCAGTAAACCGTGGAATCGCTCGTCGTGGGAGACGATCTCCTTAAAGGTGGTGGAAATGAACTGTGCCAGCCGCGGTTTGGGGGTCTTCACGGGGGTAGCATCGTCATTGCCTACTACCTCCTCTTCCGACACCACCACTTCCTCCTCCTCACTCTTGTTGGCAGTAGTGGGCGTCTCAGATTCACTGCTCGGGTGCAGCTGCGTAAACACGGCCTTCGTGTTCATGTACAAACCGGCCAGCAGCTTGGTTTGCAGAGCTTCCCACGGAATGTGGGATACCTTCGTGAGCTTTGTCTTTTGCGAGGCGCACTGGTTGCACGTGTAAATCAAGATCTCACGGACCATCAGGTTCACGACATAGGTGACGGCCTCATACGCCCATTGGCTGATCTTAAACTTCATGCTCGAGGACACGTCCTTGAGGCTCTTGAGCTGGTCCTCTGACCCCTCAACCTTCTTCTTCAGAGAATCGGAAGCCCCGTCTTAGAGGTACGCCTTCGTCAACCGTTTGCACTCCTCAAGGGCTTCCTCCTCTTCGGCGGAGAGCTCCTCGGGCGACTCGCCCTCAAGAGGAACAGCGTTAAGCTTCTTGATGATGGAAATCCACGTTTCGATCTTGCCGTTGATCTTCGCATCCGCCAAGTACTTCTTGATGTGGACGGTGCCTACGATTTTGCGTGGATCCACCTTCTTGTCTTTGACACTGCTCGACGTGGCTAGCATAATCGAGTCCACGTCCTTTGGAGTCAAAGCCACGAACGGCGTGCTGGACTTGGTGGTCTTACGAACCATTTTTTTTTTTTT